ATATAAAAATGGACACGTTCAAAAAGTATTCTCACACACAGTGATACATGCACTACACCTCATCTTCTCTCAAGACATTTTTTGCCCATGGGTATACCAAACAGCCAGGTGTTATCGTGCTCCCCTATGAGTCCTGTTTTCCTTCCCAGAGCAATTAATGACAAACTGGAGTTGGAAATTGTGGCCCCAAAATGGCTGCCTATCTAGAACTGAGGTGTCACATCACCCTGACAACCAGGGCAAGCCCTCAGAGTATCATCAGTGTGCACCAACAAAGCCAGGAGTCAGAGTTCATCCCACCTCGTGACCTCTCTGTGGAATTGATCTGTTGTGGTGGAAATGGGATTTTGGTGCTGCATGATTCAGACAGCAGCGAGTAAATGAAGTCATTTTCTGTCTATGATGATTGATTGCATGTATCATGTATGACATCAGATCCAACAAGCCAGTTTTATAGTCAGAAAGAACACAAAATAGAATTAGGTTAATTATATGTCACATTTATGAGCGCGAAATCGTGCGTGTGCGTGGGTGTCAAAGGTAGGAATGTGCACGGTGCAATCGAGTGTATAGGTGATGTTGTCAAGAAGCTGGTGTTTGTAAAGAGACTTGTGTGTTTTCAGGGCAGCCAGTCAGTCAAGGAGAGGAGCTGTCAGCATGGCTGATCTGTGCAGCCGGTGCTCGGCACAAGCAGAGACGCCTACCCATGTCAAATGTCACAGCGCTAATCTCTTTCCAATGCAGGCCAGGTATAACTGCAGGGGCATGAGGTACACACACCTCATTGCTCCACATAGTAAGAGCCCCTTGAGATCCAGCAATTCGCAAATCTACAGGATTTATCTTAATAAAAAAATAGCACCCTGTTGAGATTATGATGGCATATGTGTAATCCACTAATTTTCCAGTTCTTACAGAGCAACGGGGATTACTTTCCTGGTCATATCAAGTATGGTGGCACTGTATAAACTAAGCTGAACTCTTGGTTTTTATCACCCAATGGTGAGTGGAATGTGATTCGCATACTTACATTATTGTGTTTAATTATGCGAAACAAGGTCTAAATGTATGTGGATGTACTTTTATATCAAGTTCATAATTTCATGTTGTGTGTTAAACTAAACAAAGGTTTTAAGACATGTTTAGGCCACACATCTGCTGCAAGGCCGCTTTGCAGATAATTCCAAAGGTTTAATGTGTTATTGAATGTGTTTGTGGCCTTGTTTGTTTTTGCCTAAGGGGAGATAAGTCACCGCCTCTTATCCCTGTGTCAACAAACTTCCACTGGAAGACTGTTCACTCCACACATGACCCAATAAAATGCTTTTTCCCCCCCTCTGGAAATTAACGAATTCTCTGTCTCCGGATCAGCAGCTATTTTTGTATATATGCATTTGCATAATAAGTGCTTAACATTTATAGCTCCCCTTATTTATCACATAGTAAACCTATAGTTTTATGTGTAAGTTAGATTGGAATCTTCGCATATAATAAATACATTTTAAACAATCATAATATTATAGATATTCTAGCTATAGGTATCTGTATCTATGTAGATATAGATCCGGCTTATGCCAAGAACACAGTGTCATTTTCAAAAGATGCACATTTGAAACTACTGCAGTAATTTTGTTCCTGGCACATCCCTTCCAATCTCTAACAAATTGTTGCTAATCAAGTTAAAGAGGACCCCCCCTGCCCTTCTTGTCCCTCTAAACTTTTTGAGCATTCAGTCATGCGCCTGCCATTTCCTCATCCCTTTGTGCTCTTCCTACTAAATTACTGACAGGTGATATACAGCCCGAGTGTCCCAAGGCTAAAGGAGATTTAGAACTTTGTCCCATATGAAGGAGAGGTGAGAAAAGACATTACTATGCAGAATAGGTAATATTGAAAACGCCAGAGCACTTTACGGTGCCCAATGCAGATTATCAATCTATTTGTGTAACTTGGCTACTTCATTTCCCTTTTCATTTATTTGCCTTGCTGCAACCGTTTACAGTGCTGAAACTGAAAATTGAAGCAATATTCCTAGGCAAAATAGCCAACTTCTGAGGGATAGAGTGACCTCTTTTGTTGAGCTCAGAGGAATCTTTTGAGAGAAATGGCATTTCTACATATGATTATCTACACCTTGTTTATAGATTCTTCTCCAAGGCCTTCAGCTTTGTCACTGAGAATTTATCGGGGCATCTTGTCTTATTAAAGAGCAAAACTTGCCACCATTGTGCTGTATTAAATTTAGCACCACGGACAGAGGCACGCTTTGCTTGTCTTCCCACTAGTTTCAGCACCGTGGATAGAGGCTTATCTCAGTCAGCATTCCTGTGTTTAAAAGCCTTTTTGTTGTTGCTGTTAAACAATTGCAATCTGTGAGGCTGTAAATATTAACAGTCAAAGTCTTGATTTATTTTGCTAATGAGCACTGAAAACTTAATTATAATTCCATTGCTTCAAACAAATATGAAGGGGGGTATAAAATAACAGTAAATAAATGTGGAAATTGTCTGACAGACTGGGTGTTTTGAGTATTGCGGAAAGGATTTGCAAGAGCTACACAATCGTATTTGAGTATACCCAAATGGACTGGAATAAGTGCCATTTGGGGAGTGCACAGACACGCTGTAACACGTCTTTCTCGCTAACTGCGTGTCATCAGTCCGATGGGCTCAGCCACCGCAGCCTCTCCACTACCTCTCAGGTAGGTTGTGTGACGAAGCAGACCACGAGGGACCCGTTGTGGCGCCATACCTTGCGTAATCATCGCGACAGTACCCACTGAACATAATTACAATGATTTGTGCCCTCCCATTTCACCCTTGTATTAAAAAATATTGCTGCAGGTAACTCAGGCGTGAGCGCAGACAGGACTGCTGTGGTGAATGGAGTGTGGCCCCGAGGGAAAGCTTGGAGAGCAGAGCACAGTGTCATGCCAAAGAAAGCCAAGTCCCACCCCCCGGCCCCCCTCCTTTCTCCACTACCACCACCATCACCACCACCCCCGCAACTGCTGGGGCTCGGTCATGCCGTGAGAACGGGATGACATTACCGGGCCATTTAGCTGGCGGAAGAGCGGAAAGAGGTGAGAGAGGCGCTGTGTCGCCCTGAGAGTGTGTCTTTTGTTATTTAATGGTTAGCTAATTTCTGGGCGGGGTGTCGGGTGGGGTTTCCACACATCCCCCACCCCCTCCCAAAAAAAGAGGAAAACAACATAGCACAGCACGAATTTTAAGAGTCATACCCTGGCCTTACTGTGGCACCTCGGCGTACATATGGCTGCGCGCATGGCAGTCCCCCAAGGGCCCACTGTGAGGTAATGGGTCTGAATCATTCTATTTAAAAGGAGTGTCCAGCAGACACAACTGCCAAGAGCCAACTAGCTTAACTTCACTGTGAGTTATTCATCGTTAACATTCTGCTTTGCTGACCGCTAAAATGGCTTTCATTAGATTGGATTCAAACAGGATTATCAGCATTCTTATCATTTATACACTAACAAGACCCCGGGTGTTGCTGTTCTCCTCTGGGGATACAGATAAACATGTACTTACTCCCAAAGGAAACAACCAGGAATGGCAATTATCCCACTGAGAGGTCGTTGTCCAAGCTAATAGGAAGCTGATGTAACCATCTGATCTTATATTCAGCTGAGGTTTTGGTTACAGTGAATGTTCAAATCCACCGCCGTTGCACCTTCCCCGTGTAACGTCGCAGATTTCCGTTTGCGGTAGTTTGAATCAGATGATACTTGCTGTTATATAACAGAGGTTATTCTGTTTAGTCCATTTTTATCACAGACATAAGCACGCCTTTAATTGGTGCATGCCTTCAATGGGAAATGTGTAAACACCTAACTCGCTCAAACTGTCAATTTTATAATGAAGGACTGCCAAAATAATCAGAATAAGGCCTCCGGTTTTATTTAAATTCAGATTTGTTGGTGCCTTCAGGCTCGTAAACTAAAACGATTTGATGAAGAAGCTGAGTGAATGTTTAGCTCATCAAATGATCAACAAATGATCAGGAAATATCTTTTTTCTTTCTTTTTTATGATTTTGAGCTCATTTCTGGTGTAAATGGAATCAAAATGTAGTCGCCCCCCCACCCCATTGTCTTCATTACCTGAAATAACCCGAATGGCTTTTTTTCTTCCTTTTTTTCTTCCTTGTGCCCCCTCTCTACGCCACTCGGCGGTGCTCACAGACTTCGCCTTTCTGAAAATGAAATAATCTATTCGGTGTGACTTTCGAAACGGCAGAAGAAAGTAATAATAATACGTAGTCTAAACCGCTGCAAAAAAAAGCTGTGCTTGCTTTTGATAACAGCGAACAGTCGAAGCCGTGCGAGGAATTCTCCATTCGTGTATTTTTGAGCTTCGCCTTTAAGGCTGTGTTTCAGCACCACGGAGCTGTCCACCGTCCTGGAGCGAAGCGAGGATGCAGCGACTCGCTGCTGCTGCCGTCGAGGATGAGGAAGGTGGATGAAGGATATGCAGAGTGACTTAAGCACATAAAACAATAAATAAACCTCCGATTAACCGCAGACACCATCAATTTGTGGTCAATGTTTATTTTCACTTAATAGTAGGTACATTTCTGAAAATAGCTGTACGGCTTATTACTCCTGATAAAAACTGTGTGTGAGAGAGAGTCTTTGTCTGTGTGTATCTGCGTGTGTGAGTGTTTGTCAGTCACCCAAGTATTGCATTCTTAAGTTCTTGAAAGTGTAGTTATTTGCTCTGAGTAGGAGCACAAAGGACCGTATTCTCTATATCTCTCTATTTATAGACCCTCTCCCCTCGGTGGAATGTACCATTGTCTACTTGCCGAAGAAAAGGGGGGGGGGGGGGGGGGGGGGGACAGAAATATGCTGGGTTTATATATGCCGAGTTTAAAGCCCCCCCTTTATTCTATCCTCCCCTCTGTTCTGGCAGAGATCGAACCGACCCTGTTCGTTTAAACCGAGAAGACACCCTTACAGACTCCTCAATGCAAAAAAAATAAAAGGGTGCCAAGAAGCTGGGACGAAGGAACGTGGGTGTAAATAGACAGTGAACGCTCTTGGTCTCTCTCCCTCTCTCTCTCTTCTCTCTCTCCCTCCCCCTTCTTCTTCCCTCTCTTTCTCTCTCTCTTTTATGAAATCAATGAACGAGTTATTGGTTAGGACATAAATATAAGGAATCAAAGCCTCCACCGGGACCAACGGCACTGCGCGCTTTTGATATGCGTCTTCGCCAAATGCTTCATGTGTTTTCAAATCATTGTAAATACTGGCTTTGATAGGACGAGAGCGGAACCATCCCTGGTACGGCTTGGTCTCGGAACCAAATTTTGACCAAGACTTCCACCAGCTTTTTTCCAACGTAAAACGAGACTCCACCATTACCATCTGCTGCTGTTGTACCCATCCCAACTCACTGGCCGGTCCGAAGATGGCAACTTTAACCAACGGGCAGGTGGACGGCACGGTGCACGGTGTTGGTGTGGTCTCCGCCAGCACGAACGGGCTCGTGAACGGATTAAACCACAGCCACAGCCCGGCGGGATGCCCGGCCACCATCCCCATGAAGGACCACGATGCCATCAAACTCTTCATCGGTCAGATCCCCCGCAACCTGGATGAGAAGGACCTCCGGCCCCTCTTCGAGGAGTTCGGCAAAATCTACGAGCTCACTGTGCTCAAAGACCGCTTCACGGGCATGCACAAAGGTGGGTTATGCCCATATTCCCCGCGACACCTATGGCTCTATTTGTTTTTGCCAGAGTGAAATCTGTCACACGTTTGGTGAGAGCGGGGCGCCTGAATCATGCGGGATTTAATAGGTAGAGCAGCGCAATTGTTGGCCAATTGTTTCTATAGTGCTGGAGCTTGAATTACTTTTCTGCATGTTTATTCGCATTTTGTTTCATTTGTGGCACGTAGAGGGGGACATTATTTCCAGCGTCTGACTTGTCACTGGCTCCCAAAATCAGTGCTTCATTTTCTACCCTATTAAACACACATATGCAAGCATAAGAGTGTCACGAATCGGGAGTCACGACGGCATGAATATGTGTGGGGGGTGATTTTTAGGAGGACCAATGTTCCTATAGTGTGCACGGGAGTATTCACACATCTAGTCCAGCGGTTGTAAACGTGCTTTCATTCACTCTGCTGAATCCTGATTATTAACCTGGTGTTTTCACGTTGCAATAGCAGGGAGGCTGTTTGATTGCCTCAAAGCAATACATTCTGTAAGTCGCTCAGTGTGTGTGTGTGTTGGGGGGTAGTTGGGTGGGGGTTGTGATGAGTTGGCGGGGGAGGAAGGGAGTGAGTGAGGGAGGGTGTGCGCGTGCACATGTACACGAACGTGTGCAACAGTGGAAGGACTATGAGCATGTTGTAATTTTGTGCAGCATTTAAGCCTTTGTCAGTGTTTCAGGTTTGGGTGATCGAAGTGATTCCCTCTTAAAAATAAAAATAAAAAGAAGAAATCGCACTAAAGTGGTGATTGCATATAGAGGTATTATTTTAACCAGTTTTGAAATATTCTAATCAAATACTGCCTTAATAGCTTTTTCTGTACCAACAATGACTGACCCTGTCAGGGTTGCCTTTGTTATAGAATTGACGACAGTGAATCATCATAAACTTTTGATGCAACAGTGTTATATGCCCTTCTGGTGTAATATAAAGAATTGAAGTGCTCCAGCATGAATGATGGTGCCTTACCCTTGCATTTTATTTTCTACTCTCACGGGAATAGTCATTCTGTGGAAATCACCATCTAGTGAGAGGTCACAAATTGATCTGCTATACCTGCAGGACACATCGCAGGGTGAAAAGTAAGCTGCCACTTTTCAGGACCCCTCTCCTTTGCCTTTTAAGCCATCACCCCCCACCCTGAACCTTTGCCTCGTGCAAACAATGTGTGACATCCACCATGTGTCAGGAAATGATTATGATATACAAATAAATTCCAGAGGACAGAGAGTGTGTGCAGACATTGAGGGAACCAAAGAGGCAGGAGAAGAGGAGGAGGAGGAGGAGGGGGGTGTATCTTTTATTAATAGCCCAGCTGTAGTAGAGACTCCCTGTTGGACGGTTAATCACTAGTGGCCCCAGAACTATAGGCATGGCTCGCCAGCTGATTCTAAGAACTGTCTCCTAACTGCGATATACGGTCCTGCTTCCCAGGCTGAGCCCCCGCTTTCATTAGCGAGCCCCCGCTGTGCTCATATTTTAACTAGCTCGAGGCACCAGCTACTCCTTGGCTTACCAGCTCACTGGCTCACTGCGAGCTGTTTGAAGGCCGCGTTTCCCCCGCACCCTGAGGTTTCCGTAGAAGATGCCCAAATTAGCAGTAAAAGACAGTACATCCCACGGATAACGGGCAAAGTGACCGACTGTCGTCACACTGGGCTTATTGAACACTGCACAATATCGCATGAACTAGGTACAGTAAGCTATCACAGGAAGATAAATGCAGTTCGCAAATATTAAAATATATATACGAAGAACCTGTTTTCTAAAGAGATCACCATTACTGATCTGCAGAAATGAAAGTGAAATTAATCCATGTGAACGAATTTGATAGCAGTTTTATGTATGAACACATTTGAACTGGCTTTCAAGCTGCTACGCTTCCCTGTCAGCTTTTCCGCATATGTGTGGCTCTCCCCTTTCCTTTCAGTTTCTTCAGACTGTTTGCATTTGTCCTCTTACAGAATAGAGAGCATCAAGCTGAGGGCATGATGACCCTTTAAGGTGTGAAATGCTCCAGTGGAGTGAAGTCTATAGAACTGTCCAGCAGAAAAGTCCTCTTCCATCTTTTCTCCTTTTCATTAACTCTGCTTGATTCCATTCATTCCTTCCCTTCCTTCGCTCTTCTTTTCTCTTCACTTTATGCACTGACACCTTGTGTGTTCAGTGACAGTGCATCTTGTTCTGTAATGGTTGTGGTAGTACAAAGCCACAGCTTGAACCACAGATTGTAGATGATCGACTGCCATTTACTTTACAATTTTGTTCTACCTCTGCTTTTCCATGTAGCACGTAGCTGGTAACTGTTATTGTTAACATGGTAATGCCTTGTCTGGGGATACTTTTGTGTTCATTTAACGTTACTCACAGAGACATGGCATTTTAACAAAGACCTAAGCATGGTTTTCAGGGAGATAATACACAGCTTTTTCTGCTATGGCAGGAAATAAAAGACCCTCATCCTTTTCTGCTATACATCAACAGGCATAAAGAACAGCCTTTGCTATGGTAATGCTATCGCTGAAGAAAGCTACCCCTCTTATTGCTATTGTCAGCTGTGCCTGTGATACTATTGCCATAACCCTCCCCATAATGACCCCATGTATCATTAGTAATCTAGTCTTTAGGATTGTGTCCCCTTGGAATGGAGGGGAGGAGGGAAGCTTGGGACGGAGGTCGACAGAGCTTGGTAGCGGGTGCAGGGACACCAGTGCAGGCCTACATTCTCCCAATGATTTTATTTCTCTCCCCTCTGCGACTCAGCCATGCTAATAGAGGCCATTTATAATGGTCACCGGCTGCTGCTGCTGCTGCTGTTGCTGCTACCAAGCACAACGGGACGGCGAGCACAAAGAGCCAACCCTTTCTCTTTTCTCTGGCAATGCTGCATGGGAGGTGGAGATCCATTCAAGAAGAGCAGGTGTAGATGTGATTGCTAGCACTATTCATCAACCTGATTTCGTGTAATAATCACTGGGGCAATTGAGCTGTGATGATACGGGGGAGCACATTTAATAACCAAAGGTGTTATCTACTGTTTACTGTTGTCACATCATCACGCAGCATTGTATTTCTTGGCAAACCTTTATTGTCAGCATCTTTCTTTCCTCTTAGCAAACACAACTGTCACCAAGTTTGTTTTAGGGCCATTGTTTCATTTGGTGCTTATTTAATGTGAGTAATATATTTGTCCTTGGTCAAACTAAATACATTAGCAGCGGCTCTCGCCATAGGCTCCGACAGTTAAAGTAGTTACAAAGCTGGAGAGTTGCTCAAAGTCAAGGCAGGTGTTGAAAACTCATTTAGAGTTGGGCCAAATTGTCCGTTTTGACCTGGGAAGTGATGTAAGCGAGGCGCCACAGGTCTTTGGCCGAGACTACACCCTTTCATAAGGCTTTCTCAACTTACACAAGACACTACTAACCCAATGAAAAGAAATGGATTGGCTGTTAAACCATTTTATAAGTCCATCAATACTGCAGAAATTTATTTGAATATTTACGATGGAATATGATTGAAATCAAATAAGCAGAGATGTAGTGTAATGACCGACTGTAATCTTGTTTAAATTTACCCATACTGCAGATGCCTTATGCTGCAGATGGGGACTATAATCTGTGCAGGTCATAAAGGGAGTTATGGTTCTCTCGAATTCCCTCACTTTAGATATTATAGCTCTTTCACCTGAATCTGTCAGGCAAGCAGATTTAGAACAGAACAGCTCATTTGGCTTATCATTCTCAGTGAGGCCAGAAAGTCATGATGCCAGTAACATGAAAGGATCTTTTTTTTTTTCAGGAAATTGTATGTTACAGGTTGTTGGATGCAAAAAAAAATTATTTATTTATTTTTATTTTTAAAAAATGGGGCAATAAAACCAAATTTAGCTTTGAACAAGAAAAAGAACGAAGTACGGGTGTGTGTTTTCGTCCTGCAGGTCTGCGTTAATGCAGCATGCGTTCCGGCCGAAAAATTTCACTCCGGTTGCATCATCCTCTCTGTGGGATCCTTCCCTCTCCTCCTTTCGCATTCAGTTTTGGATGACTGTGTGAGTGAGTGTGTATGTTTATGTGCTCCTTGTCTCCTTGGCCCGTGTTCCACTCAGCGCCGTTCAGAATGCACGCTCAGGTCTCACATTGTGCTCCAAATTTATGAAGATGCATCGATTTCGAGTGTTTCGTCAGGGAGAAAGGCAGCATGTGTCGTAGAGGAAGGCACTTCATACCAAAGTAAACTCAACAACCGGTGCCATACCGCGCCCACTGCCCTGGCAGAGCCCAGAACTGCCAAGCAACAAGAAGAAATCGAGAGGCGGAGCCAGAATGAGGAGTACAGTGAGTCTAATTTGTCACGAGGACCGTTGTCAAATCAGTGCTGCCTCTGTTGTCCATTATTATTGGAGGGGACTGTCAGATGGGGGCTGGCTTATGGCCGAGCGGGGAGCCAGTTAGTCACACTGAGAGATGGTCTGACCAAGCCAAAGGAGGCAGTGCTCATGGAGCTTGTGCAAGGATTAGCATGCTAACAGCAGGTTTGGAGTTATGTGGCCTGTCAGAGAGGTGGAGCCCTCTGGCTCCCCTGACCTCGGCAGTCCTCTCATTAAACCACTGACCTTTACATACACAGAGAATTATGTAAAGAGAAGGCTGTGCACCTGCCTGTTCACCTCATTTCATGTCCTCAAGATTGATGCAAATCAACTGACACACACTAAGCATTCAACCTGCAGCAAACTTTCTTTTTTTATCTTTTAATAATTTTTGTTAATAACAACAGCATACTTTCTAATAACTGTTTCTTTCCTCCACTAACACAATGCACATCATTTTTGTATAATTAGAATTCAAAAATTAGAAACAACTGCCTTGTGGTTCAAACCTGTTCCACGTGATAAAGTTGTGGCCAACAGCGGTCAGTGGCGGTGACAGATGTTTCCAACACTTTTTAAGGTGACTCTTTGAAAAAC